TCTTCTGAAAATGAATGTCTACCAGAAGTATTGTTTTTCAAGCCAACTCGTACCAAAATGTAAGACAATCATTAATTATTATTAATCTATACTCTGTATTTAGTATGACAACAAAAGATGTGATCAAAGCCAAAGAGATCCTCATTTAGCATCAACAGAGTCATTATTGAGAAAGATTTTCGAAGGGTGCATATTCGGTGAATAAACTTGTACAGTGATGCCCTACCTGCTTTTTCATGCCTCAACTTTAATCCATCACTGATGCTTAGTGGTACTTTTATAGGTAAAGAAAGAGGAATAACGCTTCACCTTTTAAATCTCTTTCCAAGTCTGACCATATTCTCACTTCATTTAAGTGTCATGAATTAAGTTTCGTTTACAAGACCTGCATTGTGCAAATACACATTAATAGACCACATGAATACATTCTAATGTGCAAAAAATTATTTTTGTATTGTTAGTGAGAACATGCATGCACACAACAAAAGATGCATTGGCAAGCATTCATTTATATTGAGTAAAGAAAGTACTTACTGTGGCCATAATTAATGATATAATCATCAAACAAATATACAGTATGTAACCTAGAATCAAAACCTATAACAAAGTACATAAGACATCTCACAATACTATCCATGTTACTACATATTCCATTGCTATGACTACAATAATATGAAACCCATACAGATATAAACTGGCAACTCTTACCGCGTGATACAACAACTGACCCAGGAGCTGCAACAAAATATTAAGTTACATTTAATAAAAAAATTAATTTAGTTACAACAATCTAAATCCAGAATTGCAATTAATTATATTGCACATTACAATATCAAGCAAAGTATTGCTGAATCAGCGAATCATTTCCAGCTGTATTTACCTGTAAAGCATAGTAATAGAAACACATCAAAAGTTAGCAATGTAAACTCACAGGCTAATAATAACAATACACAAACAGTAATGGTGAACAAACTTCACCAATCACATCAAACCTGACTAGTTAATACCACATTGTAGTACGTGTGCCGAGCAAGTACCTTTAAGACGTATGAATGTGACATACTAACTAATAATAATGATAATGGTAGCTTCTACAATGTTTCTGTTGGATCATACATGTATGTGCATGCGTGTATTTTAGACATATTGCTTACTAATGCTATCCTCAGTTATGATACTTTCATGACCTACTTAATGTAAAATAACACTGTACATGAACAATTTCCAATGTGCAAACAATATTTTTTTGTTAATGAGAACATGCACATTGTAAAACAATCATGAATAAAAGATGCACAACATCAGCTGGCAGCATTTAATATGCGCACAGCATTGATGGCAGCATCATTCAAATGCGCAACATCAGCCAGCAAGCATTAACTTAATAATGCGCACAGCGTAGATGGCAGCATTTTGTGCAACATCAGCTGGCAAGCATTTACATATATGTAATGCGCATGGCAGCATTTACATGCATGATGATCATTATTTACTATATGTACAGAATCACTGCTTGAGTAATACTACATGTATAATAACAAATTTCAATGTTACTCAAAATTTTTTCTTGTCAGAAATTTTTCAGCAGAGCCCTGATCCATAAGTACCTGTTATTTGTAATAAACATGTAGTACAAGCCACAAACAAGATCCAGAGTTGATAATGACAGCTTTCTCCCTTCCTAACCCTCTGTCTTACATAAATGATAGTCACAAAATTGAATCAATGCTAAACTCTAAAGAACAGTGAACCTCTTTCACACCCTCTCCCTGTCCATTATAGCAACAAGTAATCAATATTCACTGTTATACATTGATTAATCATACATCCTGAATGCAGTTTGATCACTTTATACTGAGCAATAATGGGTGGATATGCACCTGGTTTTCACACACACTCACATTGTACATGCAGTGAAATAAAAATCACATTGAACAACCAATGTTTTAAAGATGATGGACCTCCCATTCACCATAGCCACTTTCCATCAACAATCAATGCCTTAAGAAATATTAATAGACTTAACTGCTTGGAAATGATTAGTACCAACATGCCTCAAATACAAAGCAGGTGTAGTAGTATCACAAGGAGTGCCATACAACTCCTGGGTTCCATACCTAGCCCAGCCAACAAAAGTAGGAGTGAGTGAATATGAATATATGGTTATACCTAATAATGCTGTTAGTGTAATAATCTGTGTCAGTAGCCCCGACATAATTTCTATACATTTTTGACTTATTTATATAATCATATATGCTTGAATATCTGGTTGCACTTAATGTACTATTAAACAATTCTTCTTCAAAGTTTGGCATATTACTAACAATTGCTCTACGCAATTCATAATGCTGAGAAATGGACCCAGTAATGAGATATGAAAAGGCATAAAATAGACAGTTCCTATCACCAGGGACATCAAGAGTACTATTAGGAACTCTTTCATCAGACAATGGTGTTGTTGGACTGCCAGGTAAGATTCTAGCAGCTGTTACAAATTTAAGGCTCAAAATCTCACACCACCTTTTTTGAACTTCTTCATTAGCAAGGTAATAAACATAATCCCTTTGTCTCCTCCTTACATTATCTAATCTAAGTAGTCTTGAAGACTCATTCTCTAATAACTCTTCACATTCTTTTTGACTTATAAGATGAATTAATTTTATCAAAATTTCTTTTTTGATCAACATTAAGCATTGCCTCTCTTTGCTCTAATGTTAAACTAGGTACATTTCTATTTCAGAAGGCTCAGTCTCACATACCAATGGTGTTTGGCCTAGTTTTCTAAAATTTCAGTTTGTAGTAATAATTAGAAAGTTTACGGTAACTTACTCCATCTATGGGTGGGGCTCTAACTAGCTATATAAGCTCTGACCCTGTGCGACCACATTGGCCTTTTTTCTAACTCCAGAAGTTATACCTCGAGGTAACATCTCCACGTCCAAATGCAGTATGGCTACCGGGCTAGAACAGAGTTCACTAATAGCCTCTAATAGTGGTAGTGACAAACAGAGTACTACTGGTAATAACAAAAAGAAAGCTGACAAAGGCTCTACTGATTCGATCCTCGGTAAGCTAGAGTCAATGGAGAACAACCTGAATGCACAGATAAAGAAGATATCAGACAGAGTGGGCCAATTGAAGCAAGACTATGTTGAAACTCCCCCTCCGAAGGGATAAGCATCAGAATCTTCATCTCACTGGGCTGATGAAAGATCATGGGAACCGGCAGAGGATCTCCAATGGCCTGTCTCAGACAGCGAGGACGGGCCATGGGAGTCAAATGTCAGAATACGAGTATCATCACCCTTTCAGAAGAGCTCACTCACAGTGGCTTCTGCCTTCAAGAAGCCCCTTTTTACGGAGGAACGTAGACGTCTCAGGAAAAATTTCCCTTGCCCGGGCATCCTGGAGACTGATGCCCCAGACACCCAATTTTTAAGACTTTTGCATCCAGAGAGATGTAAAGTCAGGGGATGCAGACCTAGCGCGAGTACAGGTGCAAATGCATGACCCTATTAGTCCATTGGTTAGGCTGCTTGGCGCCTTTGATCAAGGGGATCCCAACTTAACTATAGACAAGATATGAGACCTACTACTGGAAGCTAATCGTCTTTTGGGAAATGCATCAGCAGGGAGGTCCCAACTGCGACGCAAAAAGCTACTAAAGTCCATAAATCCAGGTATTTTGGACCTGGCCGATGAAGATATCTTTGAAAATGCTGCCCCCTATCTCTTCAGGAACGACTTTGAGAGGAAGATGAAAGACAGAGCGGAATTAGTAAAGTTGCTGACAGCAACCTCTAGCCCGAGGCCACAGCGCCATCCAGATAAACAGTTCTTCCCAAGGAGCCGCAACAATCTACCCCCATAAGGTAGTGGCCAAGCCAACAGATGACGGCAATGGCCAAGGAAAGAACAGAAACCTATTCCACGAAGTTAACTCAATTTATGAGACAGAGACTCTTGCATTGAAATGTACTATTGCATAATTTGCATTATAAAAT